TGTGTGTGTGTGCTGTCTTTACACAGCTGCAGTCAGATTATAAGTATATCTCTATCTATATTAATATTAGAGGTATACACACACAAACGGTGCTGGTAGTGTGTTTATAGTTTAAATCACTGTACATGTAGTTTTTATATATCTTATATTATATATTATATCTCTGGTCTCTGGGTCATGTTGGACTTTGTGCTGCAGGATCTGGTAGAAACAGGATATTTGGATTATTGAGATGTTGCAATATGATTATTGATGAGATTTAAATGTCACAAACTATTAATGTGTGAAATGTGAATATTTAGAGTCTGAACCAAACTGACGATTCCTGGAGAAGATTAAAAGATTTCTTCTGATCTACAGTTCGTTCTAAAGCTGTTGGTCACACATTGAACTCTGACCTCCTTTTGATTTCAGCTCTGATTGATATTGGAACTGTTTTGTAGAGTTTGAGTATAAATGACTTCAATGTTTCTGAAACTTTGCTTTCATGTTTTCATATGGATCAGAAACACGTGAAGATCTCTGGATAAAGTAATCAATAGTTAGAGAACCAGTTCAGGTGTGTTTGGTTCAGACTCCATTTTGATGCTGAGAGAATTCCATTAATCCGGAGTCGGTTTCTGTTTCCCGCCGTGCAGCCTCACTTTAAAGACTGGATCTGGGATCAGCTCTTGGTTGGATTCAGTGGAACTTTAAGGGTTGCTGAGGAGATCTGATCTGTTTGTTTTCTCCACCAGAACACCCGTGAGACCGCCCAGGCCATCAAAGGCATGCACATCCGCAAGGCCAACAAGTACCTGAGGGACGTCATCGTCAAGCACCAGTGCGTCCCCTTCCGTCGCTACAACGGCGGCGTGGGACGGTGTGCCCAGGTGAGCTCCGCCCACTGACGCCACCTGGAGGTTAAAATCTGCCATGATGACTACTTAGGACACCTTTGGATCAAAGATGAAAATAATCTCTTAATCTGAGCAGTTTGTGAGGATTCACTGTTTCACATGGAGGGAAACTCTCTTCTAAACTGTTGTTGTTGTTGTTGTTGTTGTTGTTGTTGTTGTTTTCAGGCCAAGCAGTTCGGTTGGACTCAGGGACGCTGGCCCAAGAAGAGTGCCGAGTTCCTGCTGCACATGCTCAAGAACGCCGAGAGCAACGCCGAGCTCAAGGTACGTGATGTAATCTGAGCTGCAGACTCAGTAATGGATCAGCTCCCTGATCACTAGTATTGATCACTAGTATTGATCCCAGGGGTCGGAGGGAGAGCAGGGCTGTAACTAAATATAATCAGTCACCTGTTTGGCTTCCCACAATAAAAAGAGCGGGAACGTTGCTTCTCACTGGAGGAACAGGGGGATCGATCACTGGCTGTAGGAGAGTCCACCAGATAACAGTTATTGATTATTGATATTCTGACTGACAGGAGGACGATTGCAGTGATGACCATTTAGGACACCTTTGTATAAACCATGAAAATAAAACCGAATCTGAGCAATCTGATCTTCAGTCAGTCACTGGATGAGCTGTGGGGGGGGGGGGATAGTGGTCCTGCTGGGGGGGCTGGAGCAGAACTAACTCAGGGTTTTATGTCCGCTGGATCCAGGTGGAAATGTAATGTTGTGTTTCAGCTGCTCTCATTAAACTGTGAGGAGAAACTGACCCGGGATCAGGTTTACTGATCGGTCTGGGTCAGGGTCAGGGTCTGAGGACTAGAGATCAGTAGACAGGAGGGTTCAGAGTTTGGCGCACACTGACCCGGTCTGGTTCTCAGGGTCTGGATGTGGACTCTCTGGTCATCGAGCACATCCAGGTCAACAAGGCCCCCAAGATGAGGAGGCGTACGTACCGCGCCCACGGCCGCATCAACCCCTACATGAGCTCCCCGTGCCACATCGAGATGATCCTGACCGAGAAGGAGCAGATCGTCCCCAAACCAGAGGAGGAGGTGGCCCAGAAGAAAAAGGTACGTGGGTGGGGGGGGCGCAGGAGGAGAAGAGAGGGTCACGGTGCCGTCAGGTGACCTCCTCTCCTCCTCCACACACACACTGGCGGTCGCTGCGGTGATGACCACTTAGGACACCTTTGGATTGAACCATGAAAACAAACTGAACTCTGAGCAGCTTCCTGTCGCTGTCAGACAGGAAGTCATGTGACTGCCGGTAATAACGGACAGTTTGTGTCTGCAGGTTTCACAGAAGAAGCTGAAGAAGCAGAAGCTGATGGCGCGGGAGTAAACTCAAAATAAAGTCTACACTTGTTATTACGACGACGACTGCATGAGTTTTTATTAAGGTCTCAGTAAAGGTTCACTCTGGTTCACACACACACACTGAGACATACACACACACACTCACTGAGACACACACTCAACTGAGACACAACACACACTCACTGAGAACACACACCACACTCCACTGAGGACACACACACCACTGAGACATCACACACCACTCACTGAGACATCACACACACTAGACATACACACGACACGCGGCCACGGTTGAGACACACCACACCACTGACAGACACCACACTGTCGCACTGCAACCAACACACACGCGCACACTGTACAGTACACACACGCGCACATTACAGACACACAACGCGCT